GCCTGGTATAATCATGTGAAGCAGCTCCTTGAATTTTATGATCAGGAGCACTTGTGAATATTATTTGAGTACTCAGCAAACAAGATTTTCTGGGGATCTAACTGGTCTTCCTGTTGGCAGTCTCACTTTAATTAATACTGAAGTCTTTTGTGGTAAAACCCCACACTTGACGGATTAGGCAGATGGTAAAGTTGTTGATCTAAAAATTTTCAATATGGTATCAGAGCCCATGATTAGGGGCCTGTGCAAGCCAAAGGCTTGTCACCAGGAAGTGTGGGATCGAAAACAAGCTTGGACTCTTAACATAGAGCCGGTCTCTGAATTCTTAAAAGGCACTTCTTGAACAAATTGAAAACTAGTCTGGACTCCGTTGGAGCCAACCTTTAAGTTTCAATTAATGATCCTCTTCTTGAAAAGATTGAAAACAAGTCTAGACTTCATTGGAGCCAACCTCTAAGTTTCAATTGACGATGTGTGGATCTCCACGTGTGAATCACTAAATGGGGTTACACGTGAGGGGGCGTGTTGGTAGTCTCACATCGGTAGGGGAAGTCAACAAGGGTGGCTTTAAATATGATTACCCTACTCTAACTAATACCAAAGCATTTTGTGGTAAAACTCCACGCCTGACGGATTGGGCAAGTTGTAAAATTGGGGATAGTATCGGTATCCTCTTCTTGAAAAGATTGAAAACAAGTCTGGACTTCATTGGAGCCAACCTCTAAGTTTCAATTAACGATGTATGGATCTTCACATGTGAACCACTAAATGGGGTTACACGTGAAGGGGAGTGTTGTCAATCCCACATCGATGGGGGAAGTCAACAAGGGTGGCTTTAAATATGATTACCTTACTCTGACTAATATTGAGACCTTTTGTGGTAAAACTCCACACCTGATGAATTGGGCAGGTGGTAAAGTTGGGGACAGTATCAGTGTCGTTAGGGGGGCTCCCCGAGCCCGTCGATCTAAAAAATTCCAACACTTCCTGGATCAAATTTGCCACATCTACAAAGCCCTTGTTTCATTCATTCTCACATCACTAAAAACACCTACAAAGGCTTGGTGGAAACTCAAGCTCGAATTTATGCTTGAAAGGTAAATTTATTATCTCTTGCTGGCGAGGCCACTTTTGTTCAGTCTGTCACCTCCATTGTCCAATATATGCTTTGCAGATAATATTACCAATTACCATTACAGATAACCTTGACTGTCAAAGATTTTTCTAAGGCAAGAGAAGTTTGGCAAAAGTTGGAAAGTATAAACAATAGTCAGACCACATTGATTTTCATGATTGGCTTCATTTTAATCTCACCACTAAATCACTCATATTGGGGGGTTTAGAGTGGAGGTTAGTATTCTCGTTGCTTGTTGGTTTATTTGGTATTGGCGAAATAAATTTGTTTTCGAGCAGGTTTTTGCAATGTTTGATGAGCTTACAGTCATTATTTGTGCATATTTTCATGAATGGTTAGCCTTCTAATACTCACAAGATTGATAAACGCCGTAAGATTGAATCTTTGCTCCACTAGAAAGCTCTTCATTCAAAATTGATTTAAACTTAATGTTGATGGTTTTAAGAAGAAAAATAATAATCCTTACATAACTAATAACCGGCAACCGTGCATGAGGCAATACGTGTATGGAATCATATACTGAGGATATTGTCACTTCTATGTTACGATTTGAGGAGAGAAAGGCGGAGTAGGGAAGCCGGCCGGGAGGAACAACTCCTGATCTTAGCCGGGAGGCAGGGGTAGCTTGGCAGACCAGATTTTTTTTTTTTTCAAATTAATTATTGTATAGAAAGACAAGGATATGTTGTATCATAAACTTATAACTTGGTCCCTTATTGAATGAAAGGGCGGGCTTCTGCTTTGAATAATATCACTTCGGACTTCAGTCCAATTATTGTCTTCCTGTTCGGATGAAAAACCATCTCATGTATAATTGTACGGATGAAAATTGCTGCTTTACACTACACATTTAACGTGATTAGAAATTCCATGAAAATTTACAAACAAAACCACGTAGGGATGCGTCATAGGCTGAAAAGGAGTAAGGATGTTTGTACATAGGGTGAAAAGGAGTAGGGATGTTTGTACATTCCTTCCCCACAGCAAAACCACATAGCAAAAGGATTACACACACAGCTAACACATCAATAAACACAAAATAATCCATTAGGTCAACGATAAATCATTTTATATGATAATATCACATGCATGTCAATTAAATAATTCTCCTGTTCAACTAAGGTCAATAAAATCTATTTGGCCTAATTGGATACGTGGTTCTCGTGGTGATAAGGTATTTGGAAAATAGCACATGTAGTAAAAAATTCGGATTTAAACCCCTGTGGTGATAGGGTATTTGGAAGACAGTCCATTTCTATTGAGCCACAACGAAGGGAGTGCAGAAATTCACAGTTTTGTTTTTGGGTTTAACAAAGAGATAACAGAAATTTGGTTTTTGAGCTTAAACCTAACGGACTTCATCAAAAGGGTTTAAAACCCTTTTTTTTTTTTTTACCACATGACTATCTTCTGAATACCCTATCATCACGAGGACTATTTATACAATTAGTCCAATCTATTTTAACGTGAATATCACATGCTAAAACTTCTCTTCATTAAACTTTCTTAAAAGCAAAAAATACTAATCGACTCAACCTACTTGTGCAGATATTGGATGTGAAAAATTAGCACTTTGCCAAATAATATTCCGAGTGAGCAAAAGAGAGAGAAAAATAACGATGGCACGCAGACAAAATATAAAAGTTGAGGAGCCGGGTGATATAATATTAGACATTGCAATTGTAGGCTCGGACGACTCAAGGAGAAAAAGGTTGCTTGGACCACTATTAGGAACATTGCAAATCAACACTTCAGAACATGCATGGTCTTCTCTTCTGCCATTCAAATTCATGTTGCTTTCATATAATTAATTAATTAATTAACTAGTTATTCGTGTTAATTATCTAGAGAGCACTCTCTAACATTTCCATCCTCCATCGTTTTCTTCTTCTTCAGAACAAAGTTTCAAACATTTTTTTATTTTTTAAATACCTTTTACTTTAACAATATTAGCGATTAGTTTTAGGTTGTCTTTTAATGAGCTCGTGTGCTTCTGTTGCAGGGCGTGTTTGAGCAAAAAGGGAGCATACTTGAACCAGCAGGAGCTGCAGTAGCCTCTATTAAAAAACTTTATGAACTCTTTGTAGCGAAACGACGTAGTTTGACTCGTTTCATTTTTAAATTTTTGTTTTCTCAGGTGCAAAGTGACGTCGTTTGGCTTGGGTTTAAAAAAAAAAAAAAAAAAAACCTAAAACGAGGCATCGCCCTGTTAGCAATCCAGAAAAGCAATGACTTTAAATAAAAATACCCCATTCTAACTAATATCGAGACCTTTTGTGGTAAAACCTCACACCTGACGAATTGGGCAGGTGATAAAGTTGAGAACAGTATCAATGTCGTTAGAGTTCCCACCCCACCCCCCACCCCCCGGGGGACCTGTCGATCTAAAATAATTTCAACACACCCCACTGCAGAAAACCAAAACGCAGCACCAATGCACCAGAGCAAAGGGGTGAAAACCTGGATTTTGGGAACGAATCTCCAGCGACTAGAGGTGCGAGCACACCTCTTTGCGTCTTTGTGGCTTCGCCAATGCACGTCTCAATATTATTTACGAGGAGTTCATGATAATGACTTTAAAGTGTTAATAACAATCTCTTTCTTATTCTGTTAGGTCCGGTACACCCTACAATCTTAAAATATGCATAATATAAATTCACTCATAGAATGAGAAAATGCCTTATGTCATTTTCAAGTTTGGAAAATGATCCTCACGGGATCTTTTTTCTAGGGATCTATCTTTAGGATCCCGTGATCATGATCATTTATTGTACATTATGCGATCAGTTTTCATTAGGTACTATTTATATTTAATTTTAAATTTTAAATTTTGAAATGATTTCTGACAGCACGATGTACGATGAACAGTCACGTTCATGGGATCCCTAGGATCCCCAGGAAAAGGATCCGGTGAGAACCTTTTCCGTCAAGTTTGGCACCATTTGAAAATTGGTGAGACATGAAAAAGTCCTTGATTACTCCCCCCCCCCCCCAAAAGGTAGGCTTAAACTCGCCCGTGATTAGAAGATACTAGAATTTGTACCGGCGCGTTGCTGCGAGGTTGAAAATTATATTAAAGATTGGAAAAGGTTACCACTTCAATGCTTATAGACATCGAACTTAATCTCAGATATATCCATAGAAAATTGGCTGAGAACGACGACTACACAACGGCCTAGGACCTTGCACAAAGAGAATAAAAGTTAAAAAAAAAGTCTAAAGAGAGTGAACAAACATTATATTTCATTGCATTCTATGACTCTAATTATACACTTCATAACGGCCTAAGGATATTGCACAAACAGAATAAAAGTTATAAAAGACTAATTAGAGTGAACAAAAAAACATTATATTTCACTGCATTCTATAACTCTAATTATATATAGAGGAAAGTGGTTTCTAATTGATTAAATGAAGCCTCACTGACTTACACGTACAGACTTATCTAAACTATTACCTTCAAGAATGTGCATCTTCTAGAGCTCACTTGCCCTTGAAGCCTCATAGTCCTAACCGAGTTAAACCAATTAATAAAGCTCATTTCGATAAAACTTGCACACCGAATGAGAAGCCAGTCTCAAGTACAAATGCTTACTTGAGTAATATGAAAAGCCTGCTCAAGTCGCTGAATTTGAATCCATTGTTCAGTAACAATGTCGTTCATCTGCAAGCAAAGACAAGGAAGCCAATTGCACAATGACACCATGCTTATAGTCTCATAGACCGAAGATCGTAGGAAGCATATCAGCATATAGTATACGACCTTTTGAGCCTGCGAGGCAACTGTTACAAGTCGATCCTTAGCATCCCGTGCTTTCGACTCTTAAACGTGAAGATCAAAGTTGAACCTTCTAGACGCCTCTCATAAAATCCGTACGTAAAAAGCAACTCCAAAACTTATTTCTCAAAGTCCAACACTGGATTGGAAAATTCGAAAGAATTTATAAGGCGGTGGGATGTTGTACAGGGTTGGTACCTGGAGCTTGAGAAATCATAGAGCTTGCCAGTTTGGGAAAAGATGATAACAACAGCTTCAGGTTCACACAGAATCGACAGCTCTCCAGCTATCTTCAAATCCCCTCTTCTCCTCTTTGAGAAGGTCAACAGCCTTGCCGGCAAGTAGTTGATCTGCACAGTAGTCATGGATCTTTCAAATAGTGCAAAAGATCTTATTGAAAGAGAAGTTTCTGCTTTTGACCAAAGTCCTGATAATAGCCTCTACATGCTTCCAGCAACTCCACAGGTTTATTGAGTAAATTTGTGGCTTTATCATTATTAAAGAATTGTTATTCCTGTAAGTAAAAATTGATTGGTTTGTTTCTTATATCCTTTAAGTTGGCGATTGATTGGTTTGATGCTAGAAAGTAAAAATTGATGAATCTGTTTCTTATATCCCTTATCAGGTTGTCATAATTAGCGACTAATCATAATCTGTATATAATCTTTGTACGATTTTAAAATTCAGGACTTAAATAATTTGTGTAAGATCTTGATTATCATGAAGTTTTTCTGACTGTTCTTGTTGGGGTTTAAAAATGCTTCACTACTCTTGAGATGTTTATCTCACAAAGAAGAATGTAACGCAGCGGAATTAATAGGCAAGAGAAAGAAAGAATTCTCAAAGTATTACACAAGGTTTTTATTCACTCACAAATTTAGTACAAGAGGAAACACTCAAACACTCATAGAAGCTTTGTTGCTTCTTCTTACTTCTTACTTGACACTCTCACTTCTTGCTACTTGCTCTCTTGGTTGTTCCAAATGGTGTGGATGCCTTCTCCTTTTATAGGCATGGATGGAACCTTGGAGAAGCATGAAAACATCATGCTAGAGATATCTAGATAATTCCACTACCTTCCTAAGCTAGAATTATCTACACTAATCTTGTATGTTGGTGGAATCCTCATCATTCTTCTAGACTCTTCCACCAACTTGAACTTTGCTAGAATTCTCTAGCATGTGCATAGATCTTTATTTGTGTATGGGCCGGATCAATTATCTTTGGGCCAAGACAAGATTACAATTCAACATCCCCCCTTAATCTTGTCTTGTGACGCCAATTGAGTTTCTTAGTCTGACAAAGTCTTCTTGTTTGAGTGGCTTGGTGAATATGTCGGCGACTTGGTCTTAAGACTTCACGTATTCCACTTGCACATCCTTTCTTGCAATGCACTCTCTTAAGAAATGATAACGGGTATCTATGTGTTTGCTCCTGTCATGGAATACTGGATTCTTTGCTAGAGCTATTGCAGACTTGTTGTCGACATAGATCTTTGTTCGCTTTTCTTGTCGCAGTCTTAATTTTTTCAGCAAGTTTCTCAGCCAGATTGCATGGCAGACACATGAAGTAGCAGTTACATATTCAGCTTCGCAGGTAGAGAGAGTGACAATCGGTTACTTCTTCGACATCCATGTGAATTCAGTGTCTCCCATGAAGAACACAAATCCAGTAATGCTTTTTCTATCGTCGGAATCTCCTGCCCAATCACTATCGCTATATCCAGCAAGTTTGTAGTTATCAGAACTTGAATGAAACAAGCCAAAGTTAACAGTATCTTTGAGGTATCGAAGAATTCTTTTGGCCGTTTTCAAATGTGTAGTTGTGGGATTCTCCATGTGGCGATTGATTAATCCGACAGCATAGAGAATATCTGGTCTTGTGCAAGTCAAGTAGCGCAAGCTTCCAACTAGATTTGAAAAATGTTGGATCTACGCTTTCTCCTTTATCATACTTGGTTAGTTTGACTCCGCACTCCATTGGCTTGCTCACGGGCTTGCAGTCGTCCATTTTGAACTTTTTCAGTATCTCCTTTGTGTAGCTTTCTTGGGAGATGAAAATTCCTTCTTCATTCTGCTTGACTTTAATGCCTAGGTAATATGCCATCAACCCAATGTCGGTCATCTCAAATTCTTTGGTCATCACTCTCTTGAACTCTTCAAACATGCTTGGATTACTCCCGGTGAAGATTAGATCATCCACATATAAGCACACAATCAAAATATCTCCATCTTTGACTTTGACATAGAGAGCATGTTCATGAGGGCACTTGATGAAGTTGTTTTCTTGAAAGTACTTGTCGATGCGACTATACCATACTCGTGGCGCTTGTTTTAACCCATAAAGGGCTTTCTTTAGCTTCAAAACTTTATCTTCATGTCCTTTGATCTCATAGCCTAACGGTTGCTGAATGTAGACTTCTTCTTCAAGGACTCCATTTGGGAAGGCGGACTTCACATCCATTTGTTGAATCTTCCAACTGTTTTGAGCTGTCAAAGAAATTAGTAATCGTATAGTTTCCAACCAAGCAACGGGTGCAAATACCTCATCATAGTCGATTCCGGCTCTTTGACTATAGTCTTTCGCCACTAGTCTTGCCTTGTATCTTTCGACCTCTCCGTTGGCATTCTTCTTTGTCTTGTACACCCACTTGACTTCGATGGCTTTGTGTCCTTCTGGAAGAATAGCGAGTTCCCATGTATCATTCTTTTGGATTGCTTCAATTTCTTCATCCATTGCTTTCCTCCACTTTGTATCTTGCATTGTTTCTTGGAAGTCGACTGGTTCACAATTAGCAAAGAGACAGAAAAGTGTAGGATTATCGAGTCTTTCAACAACCTCATAAAGATCTCGTATACTTCTTGTGCGTGGTACTTCTTTTTCATTTAGACTCCCAATTGACAATGCTGATGCTGATGAATTACCATGATTGGTTGATGTTGGTGAAGCAGGTGGAATAGTGGATTCTTGTTGAACCTCTATTACTTGCTCCATCATCCCTTCTTCATTCTCTTCTTCAAACTGAGGAAAGAAGTGAAGATCACCTGCATGTGAGCCAAAATCCCATTCTCCTTCTTCGAACGTCATGTCTCGACTGATCATCGTCTTCCCGTTGTTTGGATTATACAGCTTATAGCCTTTTGAATTTGTGTTATAGCCGATGAAGATGAACTTCTCACTTTTGTCGTCGAGTTTGGTTCTCCTCTCGTCTGGTATATGTATATGGGCTATGCTTCCAAAAACTCTTAGATGAGAAATACCTGGTTTTCTTCCACTCCATGCTTCTTGCGGAGTTTTTCCCCACACACTTCTTGTTGGAGTCCGATTAGATAGGTAGACAGCACATGCTACAGCTTCTGCCCACAATTCCTTAGGTAATTTCTTGCTTTTAAGCATGCTTCGAGCCATGTCGAGAATGGTTCGATTTTTTCTTTCCGCCACTCCATTTTGTTGAGGAGATCTTGGAACTGTCAAAGGTCGACGAATTCCATTTGCTTCAAAAAACTCTTGAAATTCCTTCGAAGTGAATTCTCCTCCTCGATCAGATCTCATGGCTTTGATCTTACCACCACTTTCTTTTTCTACGGTGGCTTTGAACTTCTTGAATGCTCCAAATACCTCTGATTTCTGCTTCAAGAAACACACCCAGGTTTTCCTTGAAAAATCATCTATGAAAAGAAGGAAATAATTATTTTTTACCCAAAGAGCTTGGTTTTATTGGACCACACACATCGATGTGAATGAGCTCGAGTGGCTTCTGGGCTCTTGTGGTCGACTCATTTGGAAAGCTTTTCCTGAACTGTTTCCCAAGTAAACATCCTTCACAAACTTGATCAGGGTGGCTGATGCACGGTAAGCCTCGCACCATCTCCTTCTTAGATAATAACTCCAATCCCCCAAAGTTAAGATGCCCAAAACGAAGATGCCAAAGCCAAGATATGTCTTTGTAACATATCTTAAGACACTTTGCAACATCGTTTTGAATGTTCATGGGAAACATCCTATTCTTTGACATTTTCGCCTTGGCAATTAATCTTCCTTTGTCATCTCTAAGAAAAAGGATATAATTTTTCGTATGAAAATCATAACCTTTTTCTAAGAGTTGACCCAAACTCAAAATGTTGCCTTTCATATTGGGCACGTAGTAGACATTTGAAATTAATTGGTGACCGCCATTTTCCAAGGGAATAAGGATGTTACCTTTTCCTTTTACAGGTATTTTGGATTCGTCTCCAAAAGAAACGTTGCCACTCACTGATTCATTGAGCTCTACGAAGATGCTTCTTCTTCCGCACATGTGGTTGTTAGCGCCAGTGTCAAGGTACCATGTATAGTCTTGGTCTCCATCATTGTTCTTGCATACTAGTAGCACAACACCATTCTCTTCTTTCTCTTCTTTCACATAATTGACCTTCTCATCAAGTCTGCTATTTGGAGCTCTACATTCTCAAGCATAATGCCCAAACTTTTGACAATTATAGCATTGAACTTGGGATTTTTCATACCTCAAGTTTGATCGTCCTCTTCCACGACCTTTTGTTGAGCTTTGTCCTCTTTCGTAGTTGCTATGGTTGTTGAAGTTCCAACCACATCCACGCCCATGTCCACGTCCGCGACCTCGGCCACTACTTCTTCCGTATTGGCTTCTTTCGTTGTTGAAGCTTTCTTCTTTCTTCTTTGGCTGGATATGTGTCTTGAGGAGCTACTCACCATTCCCTTGACTCTTCTTATGTTTCTCTTCATATGCTTGCAGCAAACCCATTAATTGCTCTATACTAATTTCTTCCAAGTTTTTAGTTTCTTCAATCGTCACGACAATGTGCTCGAACTTGGGGTCCAACGAGCGTAGTATCTTCTCCATAATTCTAACATCTTCTAACTTTTCTCCGTTTCTTTTTAATTGATTGGAAACGGCTAAGACTCTTGAGAAATAATCAGAGATTGATTCAGACCCTTTCATTTGTAGAGATTCAAACTCACCTCTTAATACTTGAAGACGAACCTTTTTCACTTGTTTGGCTCCTTTGTAAGAGGTTTGAAGCTTCTCCCATGCTTGCTTGGCAGAGGTTGCACTCGAGACCTTCTCAAAGCCATTGTCATCTAATGCTTGGTAGATGAGGTAGAGAGCCTTCTTGTCTCTCTTTCTTGAATCTTTCAAACTCTCCTTCTAGGGTTGAGACAGAGTAGCTTCATCTGCTGGCTCAGTGTAGCCTTTCTCCACGACTTCCGAGACATCGTGTGCACCTAAAAGGGCCTTCATTTTTGATACTCCAATTATCGAAGTTGTTGTTGTCGAGCACTGGAACTTGGAAGGCTGCCATAGCATTACTAGCCATAGCTCTGATACCACTTTGTTGGGGTTTAAAAATGCTTCACTACTCTTGAGATGTTTATCTCACAAAGAAGAATGTAACGCAGCGGAATTGATAGGCAAGAGAAAGAAAGAATTCTCAAAGTATTACACAAGGTTTTTATTCACTCACAAATTTAGTACAAGAGGAAACACTCAAACACTCTTAGAAGCTTCGTTGCTTCTTCTTACTTGACACTCTCACTTCTTGCTACTTGCTCTCTTGGTTGTTCCAAATGGTGTGGATGCCTTCTCCTTTTATAGGCTTGGATGGAACCTTGGAGAAGCATGAAAACATCATGCTAGAGATATCTAGATAATTCCACTACCTTCCTAAGCTAGAATTATCTACACTAATCTTGTATGTTGGTGGAATCCTCACCATTCTTCTAGACTCTTCCACCAACTTGAACTTTGCTAGAATTCTCTAGCATGTGCATGGATCTTTCTTTGTGTATGGGCTGGATCAATTATCTTTGGGCCAAGACAAGATTACAATTCAACAGTTCTTTGGCGAGAAAATACAAATCTGTCTTTTCTTGTTTACCTTCTAATCTCTGTATGTAACGATGTAAACCATTAATAACTTTTGTATCAGGCACTATTGGAGTCCATGGGTACAAAAGGGTCTACTGGACCTAAAGTTGTTGCTGCTGCAGAAAAAAATGCTGCTATATTAACTGCAAAAGCAGGTGCTAGGGATCCACCAGCGATACCATCCATATATCGCATATCTGCTGCCCTTCAGTATCCTGGTGGTGAGTCTTCATTCATCTGCTATGACACTATAGGAATGCCTAAGATTGGAGGGCACTGCCTCCATTATAGGCTTGGTTTTGGAAGAAATACACCCTCCCCACTTCTCTGAGGCTTGGCAACAGAAGACCTATTTTGCCTTCTTTTTTGAGTTGTGTGTGTAGTGGTTTGTCAATTGCACTTAAGAAGAAAAACAAAATGAATCAGTTTTTCAATAAATTGGTAAAGCTCACTGCAAAGTTAGATTTTATGCTGGTGAGTATGGAGGTGCTGTTACATGACAGCCTGCAAGGATCTTGTTTTGAATAATTTTTAGCCCATAGGCAGTAAGACACTGTGAATAATCTTTAGTTGTTACTCTTTCCTGAACCTAGGCACGAAGTAGTTTTGGTTGAAACATGAAAACAGAACTCTGATTAAATGGTGCTCTCATGATTTCGTGCTCCCTAAGCTTGTTACATGTATCAATAGTAATATAACGATAATCAGTTTGGCTTTTAAATTTGCTCCTTAAGCTCAAGGATGCCTAGCCTGAGTTTAATGAATGCTAGCATATGCATGTTCTGACATGTTATTTGGTTCTATTTCATTGTTTGTGTGCCTGCTTAATGGATGCTTTCAGTCCGAACTTACATTTACTGGATAAACAGGTTTGGAGGGTTCAGACGCTGCCTTATTATCAATCCTAGAGTCCCTGGAATTCTGTTTAAAACTTCGTGGTTCTGAAGCTAGTGTGTTGGAGGACTTGGCAAAGGCAATCAATTTGGTCCATACACGACAGGATCTTGTTGTGTTGTTGAACCATGCCTATAGAGCTCAACAAGAATATGAAAGGTAAAATTTTACATGGCCTTATTTTACAGGAAACTAGATTGCGTAATCCTCCAAAACTCCAAAGTTTCAGCAAGCAGACCTCGGTCAAATAATATAAACTTGAATTCCATCTTGAGCATTGTGAGATGAGGGAAAGTGCAAGAAACTGCTTTCTTCTTTCTTTTGAGATTCACATGATTTGCTGCGCTAGATATTATAAATTTTTTTCATCCAGATTCTAAATGCATTACAGTTTGCTCTTTGTTCTAATCTGTTGTCAAAACTCACGATGTGTAGCTCTGGTGTTATGTTAAATTCATTCTACATATTAAACCATTCAAATATGTGATGTTTATTAATAAGCATTGTAGGATCTCTGACTATGTTTTTGGATTAACATGCACTTAATTTTTATCTACTACTGTGCAGGACAACGAGCTATTGTTTAAATGTGGCTGCTGACCAAGAGAAAATTGTCGTGGAGAAATGGTTGCCCGAACTTAAGGCTGCAATTTTGAGTGCTCAGAAGTGCTTGGAAGATTGCAACTATGTTAGGGGATTGGTGAGTGACCACCATACGCGGAGTTAGTCTGCATTTTGTAGTTGTATAGACAGTCCATTTTTCTACCTTAGCAGTATAAGTTCCTTCTGTTTTTGTTTTTTCTTTCCCCTCTTTAATTGTCTGAACTGTAATACGTTCTGCAGCTTGATGAATGGTGGGAGCAACCAGCAGCAACTGTTCTTGACTGGGTCCTAGTCGATGGATTAAACGTTGCTGCCTGGCATAATCATGTGAAGCAGCTCCTTGCATTTTATGATCAGGAGCACTTGTGAATATTAATCGAGTACTCAGCAAACAAGATTTTCTCGGGATCTCCCCGGTCTTCCTTGATCAACTTTGCCACTTCTACAAAGCCCTGGTCTCATTCATTCTGGCATTACTAAAAGCACCTACAAGGCCTAGTAGAAACGGCTCAAGCTCGACTTCCTGCTTGGAAGGTGATTCGTCATCTCTTGCTGGTCGGGCCAGTCTTGTTCAGTCTTCCACCTCCACTATCCCAGTATTTGGTATGCAGACAGGGTTTAGGGTTTAGAGTTTAGGTATGCAGACATGGTTGGGCCAAGTTTGCCTTCCGAAGTCTCTTGGTAGGCTTGGCTTGAAAAACATGAGTTATGAATAGCTCTTCTTGCTAAGAACTCTTGGAGATTGATGGAGGGGATAATGGTCTCTGGGCAAAAGTTTTCAGTGGCAATTACATTTACCATTGGGTCAGTTACTCAATGATAAAACTGCTTTAGGCTTTTCTTGTATTTGGAAAGGTGTTCTTGAAGGGACTAAACTTTTGTATGAAGGGTTACTTTGGCGAATTTGAAAATGGTAATATGGTAAAATTTTGGACTGACAAATGGGCTAAATATGGTATTTTGCTTCATTATGGTAGCTGCCCGCTCTCGGACGATATGCTTAAGGCTACCGTAACTGATTATTGTTACAATAATTTTTGGCATATACACTACTTGTTTTACCAAGGGAGGTTGTTGAACAAATTCTTAGCATTCTAGTTGGTTTTGATACTTTGGAGGATAAGTGTAGTTGGAGTGGAACACAAGTGATGTTAATATGTTGGCCATTAATTCTAGTGGTTTTCCTAATTTGTGATAGAATCTCATTTGGAATCTTCATATTCCTTCGAAAGTTTAGAGTTTCTTACCGCTCACTCTTGATAAGCTCCTAACTAATGATCAAAGGCTGAAGGGGTTACGACTGATAACCCTAAGTGTTAAAGATGTACATGTGGCTTTAAATCAGCGCCTCATGTTTTTAAAGATTGTCCAAAGGTAAGCGAAGTTTGGCTGAGGTTGAGGATGTATAATCAACTAAATTGATTTTCATGATTGTCTTCATTTTAATCTTACCACTAATTCACTCATATTGGGAGGTTTAGAGTGGAGGTTAGTTTTTTCATTGCTTGTTGGTTTATTTGGAATTGACGAAATAAAATTTTTTTAACAAGATTTTGCAATGTTTGATGAGCCTACAATGGCTATTTGCGCATATCTTCATAAATGGTTGAAGGCTAATACTCACAAGATTGATCAATGTCGTATGATTGAATCTTTGCTCCACTGAGAAGCTCTTTAATTATCCAAATCGATTTAAGTTTAATGTTGATGGTTGTAAGAAGGAAATTAAGAATTCTTTACCTAACCAACCGATAGCAAGAGATATGTTGATGTTGATGGTTGTAAGCTCTCATCTTCTTCTTTTTTTACGCTCAAGATTTTATCTTTGTAAAGAGAGAACAAAAAAAAGTAGGGAGAGAAGAAAATATCTGGGAGAGAAGGAAAAGGAGGGGAGAAAAAAAGTAAGGAGAGAGAATACCGTCCTTATAACTCGAAAAAGGACAGGCTTCTACTAATACCAACTTCAGTCCAATAGTCTTCTTGTTCTGGAAATTGACAACTCCATCTGATGAAAAGACATTTCATGTATTATTGTACGGATGAAAAGTGCTGCTTTTTGCACTATTACATTTAAAGTGATTAGAAATTCCGTGAAATTTTCCAATATCTCGTTGCATTGATGAACGGATGAGATATAAAAAAACAAAATTTTATACTTTCATCTGCTACGTTGATGCTTAGGCGCACCGAAAGTCACGGTATTGTACCCAAAACCCTAAAATTCTCCTCATGAATTATGAGTCTAATATTTTTCAGAGTTGTTATCAGAACTTGCAAACAGTGTTTTATGCATGTCGGTCTCGAAGTTATCAACGAGGGGTCATGATAATTATTTTAAATTGTTAATAACATTATCTTTTCTTATTCTCGGTAGGCGGCTACATCCCTACAATCTCAAAATATGCTTAAATTCACTCATGTACAATGCGAAAATGCCATATGGCAGGTTTGACACAATTTGGAAATTGGTGAGACATGAAAAAGTCCTTAATCCTCCCTCCCGCACACGGCAGCCCTCAACTCGCCCGTGATGAGACGACATGACATGTCTTTTGCGAATGACAGGGAATTGGACAAAACCATCCCTTCTTTGTTTCAATAATTGTTATGAATTATCGTATAACCATTAACCTATGAGTAGATATGAACAACGACTTAATTGCCACTCATTTTCACTATAAAAGGAAAACATTTCATCACAAGATTGCAGTGGGGACAGAGAGGGTTGTGATTGTTGTAGATAAACATGGAATTGGATCCAATCCGGACCTTAGTGTTTAGAACCTGCAAGTCCACAAATCTTGACCGCTGATTGGTGTGCAAGTCAAATCAGGGCCATTGGTTGTGTGCGGTGCGTCAGGAAAATGAATTAATGGAGACCGTTGAATTCAATTTGTGCAGCCCAGATTTGTTGACTTGGAGGCTCTGGACACTAAGGTCTAGAGCGGATCCAAATCCGACAAACCTAGGTTTCATCACAAAGCAGGAAATTGAATTAAGAACAAAATAAACAGATTGCGGGTAGGAAAAGATAGATTTTTTAGTGTGTCAGGAACACTGTTTAGTACACCGAGTGTAATAATACAATTGGTTGGAAACTTGTAAAAAAAAAAACATCCAACTTTTTATATCATATGATGTATCAGACCATATTCCTGACATCAATGAGATTTGGATGTCACGCATACAAATAAAGCCTTTTATTAATGTCACATTATTATCTCTTAATAAGATCTTTATTTATTCCCGGCAAGTACCATATGAGAAATGCTAAAGAGATTCTCTACGGACTCTCTGTCTGTCACTTCATGTTTTTGACACAATGTTTTATAATGTTAGCACCAGAATCGACTGTAAACTGTAAGGTGACAGAGAGTCTATGAAGACTTTAAGAGAGTCTCCTTAACTTTTCTTATACCATATTCTGACACAATGGAAAGTAGCCATTTTTCATTGTAAGTTTTAGTTTTCACACATATTTATGTTCTGCGAGACAATCGCAAATAAAGCGTTCTGTATGGACAACTTTTATCAAGTTTAAGAGTTATAATTAAGATATTCCCAATTGTGCATATATATATATATATATATATATATGTTTTAGTAGGCTCCTATGCATCATTTGTTTCTGTGTGAATAGAAAACACGAATAAATACATGCAACAACCTATTGTTGCTGATAGCGTACGCTTCAGACTCTTGAAATTTGTAGCCACTCTACATATCTCATGTGTATAGAGTGGTACATCAAGTATGTCAGACTTGATACATTAAGTACCATAATGCAATTGATTAAAAAACAAGATTTCAAACCTTTTTTCAAGGTTCAATCTACTTCCCCACCATCCCATACCATTTTTTTCTTGTCTGGTTTGGTGGTAGGGAATGAAACTTATCTACGTTCACTTCTTCTAGTTTGCAGCTGACTGGTTTTTCCATTAGTGGAAAAACGGAACACGGATACCCTCCGGATCTATTATGTGAGGATCTTAGAGATTTTCACATCTCAATCATTCATCCTAAATCATGCAGTCAGGTTTCGTTAAGTACTATTTGTGTTTAATTTAAAATAATAAAAGTAAAATTATTTCTAATCACACGATTCACAATAATTGGTTGAGATGTGGATATTCCAAGGATCTATGGGATCCGTTTCAAGGAAAAGCGAAGCTTGATGGACCCCAGGTTATAATATGGGATCTTTTGATAGTCATTCCAAAATAGTCATTCCTTATTTGTCTGTCAATGACAAATAATTAATTTGTTGACTTAATTTTGTTGTGAACTTGTAAAATAGCCAGCCAGTGTCCTTTTTATATCTAAAAAAATTGTATAATCCTACAGAGAATATTTAGAGTGATGATAAGTCCACCACAATGTCTTATTTCCCCACCCACCTTATATTTACACCCATCATAAAAAGTGAAAAAATACATCAACTCTTTTCCCACCCACCATTATTTCCAAAATAACCCTACATATTTCTTTTTCAATTTTTTCTTGCTTTAAAAAAATTATTACAAATTAAAAAAAAAAAAAAAACAATTATCATTAAATGAAAATACCCAAGAACTCCGAATATCACCAGCAGCAGCTCTCTCCCCAAAAAAATTGCAGAACCGTCACTATCGACTCCCCAAATCCCCAACACCAAGCGCCCCTCCTCTATCAACAACCATTGCAGCAGCACCACGTCTTGAAAACCGCTTCAGTACCCAATTTCTATCGTTTCCAATTTGAATTCAGACCACACAAGAGAGAGTGTGATTAAATTGGAAGAGCTTCACTCATAGTTTGGTGCTGCACTGGCTTTCCCTAACATCAAATTCCTCCAAATTCACTATATGGTAGGTATCCAAATTGTTTCAAAACACCAAACACGATCGGAGTTCAACTAGTGTCGGATCCGTGAGTCCCCTAATGTAATCTGGTATATGAGCTTCTCTCCTCATCTATCTCAACATTATAATAGTCTTGAAGACTAACTTGCTCTACTCTCTGGTGAGGCTTGATCACACCTTCCACAACATGCGCTTTATTGCGAGCCTCGAGGCTTTGCTTTGTCAAGTCTAAATTCACTCTCTTCCTGATAAGTTTAATTTCTGAACTTCCTTTCCTAGGAAAGCTTGTGGGGATTCATGATATTTTTTTTCTTTTTCTTATTTATGATATTTTAGGTTTTTTTTAATCAGTATAACTAATAATTTGTTTAAAAATAATCAATTTAACTAATAATTATGTGGCAAGACATGATTGGTTGGTCTTTAGGTTTTTAAAGGTCATTTTATACTAGGATAAATTTATCAATAAGAGTATCATTTTATGATGGATGTGGAAATAAGACACTGGAGTGGGCTTAACAGCACTCTATTTATATTAGACCTCGGCAATTGATATATAAAAGGCAACCTCTATGAACGCATTCTTAGAGTCAATAATATCAGAGCTTCTTAGAGGGGAAATAGATAGGTTGTAAGACAATGTCTTGGTTTCTTACGGTTATCTTTCTGGTTACTACTCTTACATTTCATACTCCTTCAGAGGCTAGTTATGAGGAGATCCAACCTTCTGCAGTAGTTGTTGGCACTGTCTACTGTGACACATGTTTCCAAGAGGATTTCTCAAATACCAGCCACTTCATTTCAGGTAAATTCGTCTCAAATTTTCAGAAAATTCTTCATCAATTTTATTTTTCTATTGTAGCCCGTTCAATGATTTCCGTACACCCCTTCTCTTCTTCCATATACACTCATGTTTATATTTTAATCTTTAAATTTGAATAAGTGAAAGAAAAATTAAAAGAAAGAAATAAGCAAAAGTGTACAAATGGAGAAAATGTAAAATCTAAATGACTGAAAACCTTTATACAGGTATTTCCTAAGAATCAACCATACAACTATGAAAAATTAAATAACACAGATCAACTGCAAAAAAAAAATCTCGCCTAAACTAACTCCTTGACGGTAGGATTCTGCTTTCAATCACGATTTCTTTCCAACAGACAACAAAACGTTGGAAGATGTGTCATCGTAACTTGTCATTTTATTGTCAGTCAACAAAACGTCCTGACATGTTACGGATGCATTATCCACAATATCAATAATTTTGTGGGGTTTTTGTGCAGGGGCTTCTGTTGGTGTAGAATGCAAAGATGGGACTTCAACAAAACCAAGTTTCAACGCACAAGTGAAAACAAACAGCCATGGGCAATTCAAACTCCATCTGCCCTTCTCAGTGAGCAAAGATGTCAAGAAAATTGAAGGATGCTCCGTGAAACTAATCCGCAGCAGTGAACCCCACTGTGCTGTGGCCTCATCAGCCCCCTCATCTTCCCTACACCTCAAGGCAAGAAAGCAAGGGACTCACATATTCTCTGCTGGTTTCTTCACCTTCAAGCCTCTCAAGCAACCCAGCTTATGCAACCAGAAACCCAGCACTCAGAATTCCAAGAAATTAAATTCCCAGGAGTTCTCAGAGATGGCATTCCCATCCTCCTCTCAGGTGGACCCCAAAATGACTGATCCCTCTCTCAACCAATCTGATCTCCTAGGTCTCCCAATCGGTCTCCCAGGACTCCCAGGTCTGCCAGGACTCCCAGGACTCCCAGGTCTCCCAGGCCTCCCGGGACTTCCAGGGTTGCCCCTTGCTGCCGAAAAAGCTACATCTAAGTCCTCCAACTCCAAAACTTCAAACAATGGGCAACTAGGTGATAATAAGGAAGTAGCCCATCCAGATTCTCCACCAGCAGGTTCAGCACCATGATTCCCAACCTGCCACCTATCCTGGTTTCTGTTGGGCTCCTATCCTATTGGGCGTTACCCGTTTAAGTACAATAAGCCCATTTAGGTCTTCTGTGTTGTGGTTTCCTGAACTTCTATGTATATTGTCTCTTCCTTCTCTTTTGAGAACTATGTGAAATATTGAATGTTTAAGTTTTTATCTTCTTTTCCCGTGTTCTCTCTACTTTTCCCTCTTTCTTCTCTAACGAGAATGTGTCGTTCATAGACAGCTACAAGTACGGTAATATAATACGATTCAATTATTAGTTAAATACAATGATTATCGTTGAAACTCAAAATTTCAGGATAAGAGAGCCGCATGGATTTAGAGATAAAAATTATATATATATATATATATGTATATATAAAATTATATATATCAATTATTATTGAATATTACCCGAGCATGAAAAAGGTTATGGGTATTCTTTGCCAAGAGAGGAAAAGCAGAAGTGGGTCGGTCATGCTTTTACTATGTGGGCACCTTAGAGAAAACCTGCTAAAAATGAACCGCTTCATCATAAGAAGGCAAATAGCTGTACGGAACGATGATGTCCCTGAATTAGGTCATTTTCTTCGAGTGCGACGAGCCTTATCACATACCTTTCCTGTTTCCATCGAGTTTGATCGACTTCAACTCCTATTTCGACTGAGTAGCAGGGTAATGATTATGGGAAAAAATTTTAGGGTTAGGGTTTTGGATAATAATTTTGTGACTAGGGTTTAGGGTTTTGGATTGTTTTCACAAAATCATTCTCCACTGGTGAAATAAATCACCATAATAATAGTTGTAGGCTATGATTTTAACTTAATCAGTACCCAAATGTAAAATTTTATGCTTATTTCCGCAAATACTATTAACAATTTAACATGGAGTTTTAATTTTTTATGAAATTTTGTAGTTGGTTGGGTTCGTAAGATGAATATTAGTGTTTTGAGACACACTTGTTAGTCCAACTTCAAGCAAATTTGCAATCAGCAAGTCCATTACCTACACATGACAGCACTACATTACACATACCTTGTGACTCTTCACTACATCAGTTGTCCCCACCTAGCTCCAGTACACAGCACCTTATCCCTATGGATCCTGATTTCCACCTTGAGAGACTAAGTGTGCTTCTGTCAATACCAATGAATGTACATCCCATGCAAACAAGGTTCAAGAATGGCAAAAAGAAAGCTTTGTTAGCTACTGTTACTTCAAAACCCAAAACATTCAAAACTACATCACAAGTTTCCGAATGGCAGATTGCAATGCAAGAGGAAATAGCAGCTCTTCACTCTTAACAGACTTGGTCTTTAGTCCCATTACCACCTGATAAGAATTTAGTTAGGTGCAAATGGATCTACAAAATAAAAAAAAAATGCAGATGGGTCAGTGGCAAGGTACAAGGCACGACTTGTAGCATAAGGGTATAGCCAAGAAGAGGGTGTTGATTATTTGGAGACTTTCAGTCTTGTGGTAAAACCAACAACTATAAGGCTGATCTTTGTCTTAGCTGCTCAATTCAAATGGTCTCTTAGGCAGCTCGATGTTAAAAACGTCTTCTTACATGGCATACTTCAAAAGGAATTATGTATGGCACAGCCTCTGGGTTTTAAGAGTGAAACACATCCCTCAAACTATGTTTGCAAACTTCACAAATCATTATATGGTCTAAAATAGGCTCATCGAGCCTGGAATGAAAGATTCACCAGCTTCTTACCAAGTTTAGGTTTTCAAGTTTCACAGGTTGATCCCTCGTTGTTTATACAACAGTCTTCAAAGGGCAATGTGTTATTACTTTTGTATGTTGATGATGTCATTCTCACAGGTAGTAGCTCTCAATTGATCAACCACGTGATCATAGCCCTCATTGCAGAATTCAAAATGAAGGATTTGGGTCTCTTGCACTACTTCCTGGGATTGCAGATTAGTTACACCTCAAAATGATTGTTTGTGTCCCAAACAAAGTATATTAATGAGTTGGTTGATAAAGTCGACCTACAGGACTCTAAACCGTGTGCTACACTATGTCTACCATATCACAGGCTCCTCAAGGATGATAGGAAACCCTATCACAGTCCTGAACAATATAGGAGTGTTGTTGGAGCTCTTCAGTATCTTACTTTTACGAGACCCGACATAGCATTTTCAGTCAATCAAGCTTGTCAATTCATGCACAATCCCATGATTTCTCATGTTATTGCAATTAAGAGAATCATTCGATATCTCAAATGGACATCCACTTATGGCATTCATTTTAAACCAAGACCAATGCATCTGTAATCTTATAGTGATGCAGATTGGCCAGGTGATCCAAAGGATCGAAGATCAACTTCAGGATTTGTTGTATTTCTTGGTTCAAACCCCATCTCATGGGCATCAAATAAGCAACACATGGTATCCCGATCATCCACAAAAGCTGAGTATAGAGCTTTGGCAATCACTGCTGTAGAACTTGCCTGGATTCGACAATTATTCTGTGATATGCATATATGTGACAACCCGTTCCAAATTTTACGTTTTTATTTTATTTTAAAAGCGTGAATTTACGAAAATGCCATAGAGGCAAAGATTTTGACTTATGTTGACCATCGTCCAGAGAGACGTATGACTTATTCTTTTAACATATTCTCGTAGTACTCATGGATGTGAACGCATAGGCGAAAACCGTTTGCGAGTCCGGATTATAACGGTATAGTTATGGACGTTTGAAAATGGCTATTTAAAGTTTAGTTATAAATTATTTGAATTCCCACCTTGTGGGAAAGTGGCAAATCTGATTTTAGGCACAAATAAGAAGGAACCAATTAAATTAGAGGGAGAGGGTGAGACCCAATCAGAAATAGAAAGAAGAAAAGAAAAAAAAAAAAATCCCAGCTTTCCCGTGGGTTTTTCCCACTCGTGACCACCCATTTTCCAAGGCCGATTCCGGCCAACTCTGGTGGAGTTTTTTGATGCCACCACCACCATCTTGAAGCTCTCACTCCCCTCTACAAAACCCACCCAAGAAGCACCTTGATTAACCATGGTATGTGGCGATTTGAGGCCACGAAAGTTGACGAAAATCAATAGTGATCCGGCCACCCTTTTCGATTTTCCGGCAAATCGGTGAAGCGATGGTTGATGCCACCACTTGGGCTTTGTAGGCCATCATCCCAGGAGCAAAACCCAACCAACCTTGACCCCGTTGGACCACCGTAGACGACGAATCGACGTCGGGAAGTTTTAGGCCCCCGTCGGCTTTGTGGGCAACATTGACCATCTTCCGTCCACTTTTGGACTTCGTGGCAAGTATGAAAGTTGCTCCACTCACTGAGATCTTCATTTCTGTGAAGTTTGAGAATTTTTTAAAATAGTTGGATTTTCCGGCGAGTCGGGGCGGCCGACCGCCACTCGCGGCGGCGCGTGCAGCGGCGCGTGGCCAGTGAGCCGCTAATGCTATTTTTAGGCTATGTCGAATGTTTTAAATTCAGTTTTGTTATTTGAATGACATAGGTTGATCGTTAGAACTTAAATTCGTTACAATGCGTTGCTTGATGAAAATGTGAATCGACGATCCGACTGTTGGATCGTCACCAAACTTGGATATATTATAATACATAATATTTAAAGATCATAGGAATTTATGGATCAGGAATCCGATGTACGGATCTTCTCGAATTGAATTTGTAAGTTAGAAAAAAAATAAATGTTCACGCCCACTTGGTTTTGGGAAAATGGTGGAGATCCAACCGTTGGATCGTAATGAGATTTTAAAATGTTTTTCTAGAAACATATTGTGGATTGTTGGGAGTTACAGATTGGAAATCTGATATGCGGATCTTCCGAGTCGAGTTATATAGGGTTGTAGACCCTTCCGTCGATCTTTGATCGACTGTTGACATGTGGTCAATGGATCTCAAACTATTTTAGAATGCTCTTGAGGTTGTGTTTTATGTGAATTACGTATTCTATGGATAAGAATTCTAAGATGTAATTTGATAATTGGTCATAGGGACCAATCATTCAGGACGCCTCGATGCGTGCGCTAGAGAATCATAGCGTGGACTCCAGGTGAGTGGATCTTTTCCTTTTTATCGTACATATTATTGAGAGTTCTATCGATACTTTTAAATTGATTAGGCATATTACCTTCATATAATTATTGTGAATGCTTGAAGTACCTATATGAACTACGAATGACTTGATCCCTGTTTAGGGTACGTAGGCAGTCTAACGAGACGTTAGATGCAACCATAATATATTTGAGACAAAAGCCTTATTTGGGAAATTGAGTAATGCGAAGGAAATTGGTAAAGGCAAGTTTTAGTTTTGTGAATTAGTTAGTAATTAGTGTTAATTGGGTTGTCATGGATAATTAACCCTGAAAATAAATAGTTTGGGAGTAGGGCGTTATTGATTGTACACTCCACACCGTATTGTTTATAATTGAAAATGCTACAACATGGTTGAGTATTAGATTGCATCATGGTATATCGATATGTATATTACTTGCATATAATTATTGAGAATGCTTTCAAGTGCAAAGGTGAACGCAGGATACCCAGGTAAGCTTCAGGTGAGTACATGTTAATGTTAGTGATGGTAGTGAGTACGATTGTGTTGAGATATAGTATAGCTCATAAACCTGCACCCCGGTGTTAGTGCTCCCGCCCGTGGCCAGGGCACAGTCCTTCACGTGATGTTCACCTCCCGCACCTTACGCTCACCTTGGATCAAAGGTAGGTGCACAGTCCTGTCGTACAGAGCACTTTAGGTGGTTCCGGCTCGTAGGTGACCCGCGATTATTCGCACAGTCTTCACGTGATCGTTGCACTTGAGCGTATTTATTTACACCCAGTCCTGTCGTACAAACCACTTTAGATGGTTCCGACTCGTGTGCAGGTATACTTATTGAGCTATTGGCTAGCCATTAAATGGATGAGATATGGATAAGTCGTACAGGTCACTATAGGTGACTCCGACTTATATGCTAGTCATAATTGATGAGATATGGATAAGTCGTACAGGTCACTATAGGTGACTCCGACTTATTGGCTAGCCATGATTGACGAGATATGGATAAGTCGTACAGGTCACTATAGGTGACTCCGACTTATATGCTAGCCATGATTGATGAGATATGGATAAGTTGTACAGGTCACTATAGGTGGATAAGTCGTACAAGTCGCTATAG